GTTGCATACATCTTGCATGGTAGCAGAGCTTTTCTCTTTTTAGAGAATAAAACTTCTCAAGAAACTTTTCCATAACAGGAGGATGATCAAATAATTGGATAAACTAATTAAGTCTGCAATTAAAGTCCTATTAGACCTATATATGATTCTATCTTAGATTCCCCACGCTTTGTTCTATAAAAAAAAAACTACCCAAACTTTCTAAAAGGCTAAGAAAAAATCGTTTCAATCATCTTTTGGATTCCAACAACCTTTCAATTACCTTTTAGTAATCCCCTCTTTATATTCCTTTCGTGTAAGTATATCCACAGTGAATTGGTCGCTCCAAAAGGCGCAGTAAGGGTCCTTTGCAGCGGCTGTAATCCTCAGAGATCCTGCGCTGTGAGAGCATATGTGCGACCCTCCGTCCGCATCCGCGACCGTCCTCTCAAATGCGCTCCAGCTAAGCGACCTGTAACTGATTCAATGTTACAGTCCACCCTCCTCCCCTCCGCCCCCCTCCGAAAAATCATCTGGCTCAAAGTAAATAACTCTCAGGAAATGACACCCCCCCTCTCCTCCCTTCGAGCGCTGGACCCCTTTTCAAAGTAAAAGTCTCTTTTTAGGGGGGTAGTGCAGACGAATATCCCCGCCGAAATGAGGGAAATTGCCATTTTCATGGGGTTTTATTAGGATACGAGAACTTTTGGAAGAGAGGAGCAGCCCTGGTGTGTTTTTGAGTAACTTGTGTTGCATCTGGTGATGTTTCACTCTTTAATGCGCACAAATGTTCTTGTTTTGTGAGTTTAACTGTTACTAGTCCAGTTTAACAAACGTTATCATGAGATTACGATGCAAATGTAATCTCTTTTTTGTTGCGCGAAGTATGGAATCTCAGTGAATGGACACAGTTCTTGTGCGTCAGTCAGAAACTGAGGAACAGTGGAGCGCGTAACTCATAGAGGGCGCTCCAACACCATCATATCACAGGCCATCTTCCCTCCCCCCTCTGCCTCTCTTTCTCTCCCTCTCTCCCT